TGCTGCTGGCTAGGAGCTCCTGGAAGTTCATCGAAGTACTCGGTCAGGATATTATAACTCGATGCGAGAGAACGAGCAAGCGAGCGAGCGAGCGTGCGATACCGGCGAACTTTCTGAAAATCGCGGAGAGGCAATAACTCGGGATGGAAAAACGGCGGGATCGTTTCGTTTCGACGGGGAGCTCTTCCCGGTCGATGCCGCCGCCGCTCGCTTGAGCCACCGAGATATCACTCGGACGGCCAATTTAAAGTTACGATTCGCCGGCCATTTTCGTGTCCCGCGGGACGACAATGGCCCCGACGGTGCCCGGATTCGGTTGGCCGAATGCGGTTTGACGGCTATTACCGTATCGGCCGGCTATTTCCGTTGATGGAGGACCTGACTTGCGAATTTTTAAGATTCGTTCTCGCCCCTTCGGCTCTCAAGGTGTCCTAAATGCGGCGTGTCGTATCAGGGAGGATCCCGTTCCGAGAGATAACAGGATTGACCTGGTCAAGTCGAATATCGAGCGAATAACACGACCCTTCACTGCTATAACTCAGTTAAGTCGGTGAGACACGTTGCCTGAAAAGCAGGTGAATTGCTTATCACTAAAGTCGCTTGGAAATGAATCCAATCGGCCCCTCGAGCTTTCGTCTCCGGGAGACGGCAGAGAAATGCAACGAGGTCGTTTCCGGTAATGACGACGGCTTAGCGACGAGTTATTTATTTTCGACGACTGAGAATTGTCGCGATTGTAGTTATTTCGACAAATAGATCGGACGAAAAAACCACCAAAGGAGGCATCGCTGCACAGTTATCGACGTGGCGCGCGATCGGAGCTCCTTTAGAAAGAAACAAAAAAAATGCAGGACGAGAAGTAACAATTTGCCGAGCAACAGCAAGTGATAACTCGATGATGAAGTTTTTTTCTTAACCAGACGCAGGAGAAGCGGAGTTCTCACCCTCTAAAGAGACAGACAGGCGAGAGATAATTCATCACCGACACGGGGGATTGAGTCTTCATTAAAATAACGCGATCAAGCCAGAAACGACACTCATCGTGTTCACATGTGTGCGGAATAAATCCCCCTTTTTTCCGACGTCCCGCCCGTCAGATTATCGGAGTCCGCGGAACTTTCGAGGGATGTACGACTTCGGGAATCACGGGATGGCACTTACGAAACACACCGTATATATACGGCGAAACGGCGGGTGCACTCGAAAGTTTCGGTCGGGATAAACGACTCGCGGCGTATTTTCATAACGATTTCCTACCGTCGCCTCTCTCTCTCTCTCCGGCTTCGAGCCCCGGAAATAGTCTTTCCGGAAGTGAGAGAGTGCCGCCGGAGAATTTGGGGAAGGGGGAGATCCAGAGGGGACTTTGCGACTTACGTCCGAACAATCGAATAAAATCCCGCCGCCGACGGGGACGAGAGTGGAATGCAAAAAGTTTTAAAGAGAGGAATTTCAATTTGTGTAATATCAGATATTTCGGATTCCTTGCCGTCCTGGCGATGAAGAGAGAGAGAGAGAGAGAGAGGGGGGGGGGGAGAGAGACGGTGAAACACAACGAGGGATAGCCAGCGGGAGCGAGGGGGGGGGAGGGGGGAGTTAATCAATTAGGTGAACGCGGGGCGTGACGACGCGAATAACTGCATGGGCAGGGGAAAAAGTTTGCACCAACGTGGAAACGTGCCAATGCCGGCGCGGATATCCTCCTCGGCCGTTTCATCGCGATTGCCAATCATGAAGCTCGAACGGGGGAATTATATCGAGCGAATGAAGCGAAATATTGAGATTAACACTCCTAATTTTGCGCGCGCGAACGAAAGTATTTCTCACTGGAGACAGAAGCGCAGCCTCGTTCTCGCGCGGGCGGACTTTCCAGGGCCCGCCGAGAAAATGCATCGTTTGGCCTGAATGCGTTTTAATCGCGCGGTTAATGCTCTTTCTTCTAAATTTGCGCGGGCGAGGGTAGGGAGCGCGCGCGCCCGCGCTTAATTCATTTCTGCGCTCTCCTGTCAGCGCGACTGTGGACGAGGGGGGTGTGTTTTGCGTTTGACACGCGCATAGAATTTGCGCTTTGACGTTAGCGACTGTTACGTCACTCGTCGAACGATCGACGAACGTTGGTTTCCCCGTCAGATCGGTGACGCGTGGTGTGCGTGCGTGCGTATGTGTGTGTGTGTGTGTGTGTCGGGAACACACCGTTATAATTTCATGTCATTATATTAACGGCAATAAATCGTTCATACAGCGTTGCGATGGAGTGCGCATTTCTCGGGGAAATATCGGGAGAAATATCGCCGGAGGAGGAAGCGCTTTAAAATGTAAGTACGCTTATTATAACACTGAGTTATCGCAGAGCGCGGATATAATCCAATACGCGCCGATGGAAATGATAAAATGGCTCGTTAATGCGCCACGGCCGGAGTAACAAGTTCGCATTCGCGTTCATTCGCGAGATCATTTGTTCTTTTCGCCGGAGAGAGTGTCGAGGAGAAGCGGGGAGGGGGGAATTTATCATAATTATTTGTTATTCCCGAGCGCGTGTACGCTCGCGGAACGCTCGCACGCTAAGTGGAATCTGCGATAATGGTTAACGTGAAAAATAAAGTTCCGTTCTCGCGCCCCCGGGAGCGAAGACACACAGTAGACAGTTTTATCGCGACGCGTAATGAGGTGGCGCGATCATGACGCGCGGACGGTCGACGCGTATTTGCGCGGAAAAATCGTACGTCCGAGTTCCCCCCCGCGCGTTCTGCGGCGCATCTGCAGCGTATCCTCTGTTCCCTCCTCCTCTTCCGCTTTGTATGTACGAGTATGTACGCGCGCTCTATATTTTCACGTGCACGCGCGAGTGCACGTACGTATGCACCTGAAGCACAACGCGAGAACCACGGGAAGGCGAAAAATACTTTTCGAATAAATTGTCGCGCAGGAATTCCACGGCGATGCGCCGAACAAAACGCGGCCACGCTGTTGGTGCAGCACGGTAAAGCCGGGCAGCATCCGAGAAAAGGAGGAGGAAGGAGAAGGAGGTGAAGAAGGACGGCGGAAGGAGGGAAGGGTCGGTCGGGTTCCGACGGGACGCCGGAGGGTACGGAGTGTCTCGTAAAAATGCAAACTTCTCTCTTCAGCGTCGAAGTGCGGCGGACGCGCGCGAGAGGAGCCGGTCGTTGCGCGATCCGATGTTGTCGCTTCGCCTGCGCCACGTCCAAAAAGTTGGACGTGGATTGTGAAAACGGAAAAGAAGGAAAAAGACGAGACGGGGAGAGACGCGTCGCAGGCAGAGCGAACGGGCGAGAGGGAAGTCGGACGACGCGAAGGTGAAGCAACCTTACGAGAGAGAGAAATTCGCGGAAAGTTCGCCCTGTACGCCGGTTGCAGAGCGGCTGGTCGGAGATGCATCGGGTTGCATCGGGGATCGGCGAAGGGAAAGAGGGGAAGGGGGGGGGGAGAAAAAGAGAGGAAAAAAAGGCAGAGAGAAAGTGAGAGAAAGGGAGCGAGTGGATTGCGCGGGACGTTTTTCCTGATTTTTCGAGGGAAAAGGAGGGCGGAAGCGGAGCTGGGATAGTTACCGGGAATACGACACCGCCTATGTACTCGGTGATTCGGAAATATCAACACTATCGGAGATGCCATTGTTTCCAGCTATTCTCTGGTCGCGCGCGCTCTCCTATTTTCTCGCGAATCAAAACGAAGGGTCACGTACCGTTTACTTCTCCGTATCGTCGAATTTTTCTTGATTTATTTTTCTTCTTTCTTTTCATCAATTCGCGTGCGCCAGAAAAGTACAGTCAGAGTAAGGACGAAAGATTGAAAGGTGCGATTGTAGGGCAGAAATGTATTCTACAGGGTGAGGGTGTCGCAAAATTACCTTTTTAGTTATTTCGGGCAGTCTTATTAATAAAACATTCATTGGGCGTTTGAATCTCGAGAGCGTCAGAGCAGCGTCAAAACTTCGACTTGAGAGGAAGATAAATATATTTGATCTCTTCTCGCCGTCATATTACGACGGGACGAAAGAACGAGTCGAAGGACGTATTGTTCCACTGGAGTGGCCATGGTGTGCGGATGATGATTGCGTGGAGGACGCAGAATTGCCACGGGCTAGCCGGAGGCAGCAATAATCTTGGAAAGCAATTAGCAGTCGAAGGCCCGCCGACGAAAACATCAGAAATCTGTTTCCCGGTTGATTACTTTCTTACGGCTGTACCCGGTGTGTGTGTGTGTGTGTATCGTTCGAAGTGGTTTACCGCGTCCCCCCGCACGTTTGTTAACCGACGAGTGCAATCGACGAGAGGCGGAACGATTCGTGGCAATCGTTTTTGCGAGTTAACTGTCGGCGCGTCTGCCGAGCAGCGGGCGAACAATTTGCGCGACGACGACGATTTCTTGCTTTGAGGAGGACGAAATACGGTTTTTCGTTACAGACACGTCAGCGGGGAGGCTCCAGGATTAACGCAAAGGAGCCGCAACACCGTCGTCGGAAATGGATGGACGAAACTTCAACCGCGCCTCTGGTGTCTCGGTTCAACATCGCGGCCGAGACAATTGTTAAATTGCCGTTTGCGTTCGCACAATTCTGCTTAACTAACTAACGCTTCGGCAAGCGCCGTTTAGATCCTTGGACAAAGTTATCGGCGCAACCAAATGTTGGCGACGCGAGTCGGTATCGAGATATGATCGATAACCACGCTTTGTCGACGTGTATCTCATTACATCATGTTTCTGCGTAAAGACAAATAGATAGATAGATAGAAGAAGAGAGAGAGAGAGAGAGAGAGAGAGAGGGTTACACAGAGAAGAAGGAGTAGGAGAAGGAGGAGAGGCCAGGGAAACAGAAGGCGAGAGAAACTACATAAATCGCTCGAAGCCAAACGGAGATGCGCCCTCCAAGGCACTTATTGTTAACTCTCGAAGTATTCATAGTTTCTCTCTCTCTCTCTCTCTCTCTCTATCGCATCGAATTATTCCGCCTTAGTGGCGTAATGAAGAGGAAACGGCGTACTAACCTGAGGTGGATAGTGATCCGGCAGGGCATGCAGGGCTTCCCTGTACGCCGACAGAGCTCTTTGTAATCTACCCTGATCGGCATACAGCGCGCCTAATTGAAGGAGGGCCTGCACCCTGGCCGCCTCGTGAGCCCTTTTGTCCTTCAGACCGGAGCCGTCCAAGGATGCACCGGCGCGCAAAACCGCAGCCGCTTCGGTGCCGCGTCCGACTGAAATCAGCGCGGCTCCCAGGTTCACGTAAGCCTCTGCAAAGACAAATGATAAGGATCATGAGCAAGGCAGCAGATTCAGAGAGCAGATTCAGAGAGATCTCCGATACGCGCATGGTGAATTTCTTCGAATCGAAATTTTACTTCGCACATTAACCTGTTGTACACCCGAGCTCGGAGGATGCTGTATAGATTGTTGTCTTAATTTAATACTGTAAACGATTGCTTAAAAAGAAGGTAGAAAAGATTCGAACGCTCTTGCGAAGAGCCGGTAAAATTTACCTCGTCACTACAGGGGTTAACCGAATGCGAGAAATCTTTTTATAAACTATTACATTCCGAGAAATGAATTACACTGAAAACAATTAAATATCAATTCCGGACTTATATAGGGTGGTTTAAAAGTCCGAAAGTGACCACCAATTACCTCCGAAATAATTAATTTTACGGGCAAATTTTATGCGGAGGTTACTTCTTAGATGAAAGAACCGATTCACGGTATATTTCAAAATTCTTCATTGATGCTTCAAGTTCGACAGAATCTGTAAAAGCGGGACGAAAGCTTAAACAGTTCACTTTAAGATTCTTCACGTTCGAACGGAATTCGCAGAATTAACGTAGAACCGAAATTTCGGTTCTGGCAATCCCAGACTTAGCAGTGCGCACCGCAGGACGCGTCAGGCGCTTCTTCGTCGCGTTCAAACTCGCAATCTCTCGTGCTCTTTGGATGCGCTATATCCTTAGATATAAATATTTAACTATTAAAAGCACGAAACGTTTTTCAATACTCATCATTCCTTCGAATTTAATATTTCTTTCTTCATATCCTTTACAGACATTTTTTTGTATTTATTCCTTATTCCAATAAAAACAATAAGAAGGCACGAAGTTCATTCGGAACAAACAAAGAGATAAAATGGCCGATGCTCGGCTGGATTATGGAGATTGATTTTATGGGCCGAAAAGATACGACGAGTCTCACAAGTCCCGCCCTCGCGCGAAATTCTAGATGTGACATTTCGTTTCCTCGACACTTTCATTTCTGACTTTAATTAAAAAAGTCTTTTCGAGGGGACCAACTTTTCTCCGGGTCTCAGATTGGGATAAAGGTGCTTTGTCGCTCGAGTAAGATTGCCATGATCTCTCGAAAGCCACAAGGACGATAAGGGAGATTACGTAGTGAGGAAACTTCCGACCTGAAATAAGTGAGGACTAAGTTTTAAACAGATTTTTTCCGCCAAATTTAGACATCATTCCCTGAGAGAGGCAGTTTCCGCAAAGTATTAAGTGATAAGAGTTACATACGCGATCGGAGACAAGTTATTCCTCACTCAATACGAAATCGTTCGAGATAACTTCGCGTCTGTGACGAAGGGTTTCCGCGGGAAACTCTCCCTCCCTCGTCGATGTCTGATCATAACACAATTTCACCGAGGATAACCTGTAGACGCGAAAACGGAAGCGGAAACGCGACGTAAGACGGAGGGAAACATGTGCGGTCCCGCGGGGGGAGGGAGGGGGTAAAAAGACGAGGCGAAAGCTCGCGAAAGGCGGCAGTAATCCGCGTCGCATTTTATTTCGAGACTTCGCCGATCGGGGAGAAAAAGCGGCAATGAAAAATGGCGAGCCGTAGAAAAGCCGGGCCGTATAGGTTCGCATTTAGTCCGCGTGAAAACTTATTACGCGGTACGCTCGGATACCACCTGTTACCATTTATCTCCCGAACACGCTCGCGCGTCCTTACTTCCTCCTCGTCTCGTGCGAAATTCCGGGCGGATCCGCGAGCCGCATCGATTTTAACGGGCCATCGGTCGCGCCTGGAAATTATCGCGCCGAGTTCGCAGTTCGGGTCCCGACAGTGGGCGCGGCGGGCAGCTTTAATTAACAAAAAATTGCGTCAGGGTGGAAACCGGGCACGGTGGTCTAAGACAGACGTTTCTTGGCGAAAACTCCTTTTTTTCGAAACAAACTCCCATCTACATCGATTCTGCAGGTGATTGACTTCCGGCTGTTGCAGCGACGTGTTATTTTTAATTTTACCGTTTTAATTGATTGTTTAATTTATTATATTGTTTATTATATTTAATTATTTAATTATGTTTTATATTATATTTAATTAATACTGTTTTAATCTTCTTGAGGGAGGATATAAATGTTTGACACACTTAACCACCGCCGCTCGCTATTTTCTCCTTCCCGCAGATATTTTCTATATGTAAAAAATCATTTTTATCAAGATTCAGGATTTTACCAGGATCTTGAATACTCGGGCTTTTTCACACCATCTACTGGCGCAGCCGGGAGTGGGACAATTTCCCGTCATCGCGACATGCGCGCGAGTCTCGTGTTTTTCTCAGGAACGACACCTGGCCGATACCTTCCGCACGCGCATTATTTTGAATAAGGAAGGAGCAAGCTGCGGTGAAGTCGGGCAATACGTTTTCCTCCTCTGCCGCTGCTGCCGCCGCCGCTCCCCGGGGATACTCTATGGAATTAGAATGCCGACCGAGCTTCCTGCATCCCCGGATCAGGATGAATGTGTACGCGACGACGAGCCCCCGCAGGACAACGCGCACGCGCAATCGCGCCTGTTTAACCCTCGCGTTGCCGCGAGCTTTCTATTGTATTTCAGCAGCGACGTGTTCCGCTGGATATCTCGTGTCTGTGTGTGTGTGTGTGTGTGTTTCATTCTTTTCTCTACCGAAGCGTAGGTCACAGCGCCACGGCGAACCGCCGTTCTTTCAAATGCATCGCGTGCGTTTTTCGTAATTAATCGAAAAAAAAGCCATGCATGAAGTTATGAAAACACCGGAGGGAAAAACATTTGTTGAGAAAGAAATTATTTTGGATAAACAAAATTCACTCGGACTCTATTCGGACGGTAGTCCGAGTTGATTGAACAAACGCGCCGTAATTGATGTAGCGCAAACACATTCGGTTGATTCCGCGATTACGATTGTTACTTCGAAAATTCGGCGACAGTATTTTTGCATCGCCGTTTTATTCCATATCGGCCGGAGAATTTCCGTTTGGATTCAGGTCGACCGTTCATTTCAACGCACGTTCGCGCATCAGCGGGTTATTTTCCCCGACGTAATAATCTGGAAAAAAAAAAACGAAAAAAAAAGCCGCGTCGTCTCGTGTACGCCGGTACTTTACAAAGCGTGCCGTCCGTCGTCTCACTTTACACCATTAAAGAAGCAAAGCGCCTTAAAAAGACCAACCGCAGGTACTCGTGTTTTTATACACACAGGGACGCTTTCCTTGTCGCGATATTACACGCAGACACTACCACATAATACCATATCAATCCGCGATCGAGTTACGTAAGGCCGACTGATTAACGAACGTTGTCGGAAATCCCGATGGATTTTCGGCTCGCGGAAATCATCCGAGCATTTGGGAAGGCAGAATCTGGCAATCGACTCGCGAGCGGCGAGATAATTATGCCGTAAAAAACCCGAAGATCGTGCCACTCTCCGCGCGTAACGACGGTGGCCGTAAAGCGGACTTACTCTCCGTCTCTAACGTCGGGTTTGTCGATGTCCCTTTTCTCTCACTCTGCTCTTCGCTCCCTGGCTCTTTCCTCCGAAGGGATATTGCGGTGCGTCGTAAAAAGAAAAGAAGGCGAAATAACGCGGCCTGCGTTTGGCAGTGAATTATACTGTCCGCCTTTACCGGCCCGGTTCTTTCCACATAATCGTGCCGAGCCGAAGAGGAGAGTCAGGTGGCACACCGGTCGACACACCGGAAAATGTGATGGTGAGCCGGGGCTCTGGCTAGGGGAGGTACAGGGGTGGCGGAAAGTAACAGAGCCGAGGCGGAGGGAGAAAGGTGGGCGACTCTCTCGTGGGGTCTACGGGCGGAAGAAGGATGGGCGGACGGAAACTGCTGTTTCATCTCCGACTCCGCCAACTTGGCAAGACCGCCGCTCTGTTTGCTTCCTAATTACGAAAGAGAGAGAATAAGACGGAGCGAGAGAGAGAGAGAGAAAGGGGGAGAGTTGCATAGGGAGGGAAATGACGAAGGAATGGCGCGAGGGAGGGTCGGCGGAGATGGTTTGAAGTGAATTCAGCTCCACTACTCTCGCGGAATTAAGATTCCATTGTGCAGCCGAGTTTTGTGTGTGTCTTGCAATTTTCTGGTTAACCTGACCGACTCCTGGCACGCCTTCCCCTCGCGGCATCGAGAGAGAAAGAGAGAGAGACGACTCGATGAAATGGGCGCCGCGTCGTTCTGACGAAGATCGATGGCGCGGACCGACGCCCCCTTCGATTTATCGCCCGCGACACGCGCTGGTTTTCCGCGATAATTCGTTGCGGCGCGGGATGTTCGGTCGGCGCGGATAGCGCCGTTGATCTTGCGAGACAAAAGCCGAGCGTGCGCGTTCGGCGGCGGCCCGACGTTATTCATAGAAGTCGCGGCTCGATTTATGCGCCGGCCGGAGAAAAATTAATTGCATCGGCGAATGTAAAAGCGAGGCGTTTCAATTCGACGCGTCGCATCGCGCGCGCCCCGACAGAGGGAGAGCTTTTTTCAATCTCTCTTCGTGACCGCTGTATCGAGTAATAAGTGTAATTCGAGTGCAATGGCACCGACCGTGAAGTTATCGCAGCAGTCAAGACGCACCTTAATTTTTTACATCTCATCGACTTCCAGCTTTATTTTACGGTTCATCTATCGATCGAATTATGTCAAGGAACCATTGTAATTGAAACTTCAAATTCCTTGCTTGTCAACTAGAGAAATAAATTTTTGTGTGAAAGATATTAATATCGTTTACAAAAATTATGGGTAAAACAAGCGATTCGACGTCTCAGAAGGTTGCAGAGATAAAAGTGCTGCCCGACACCGAAAATTATTCTAATCGAATAAGCGTGAAATTAGTAGCTTTTTACTTCTCCTCCTAACCTGTATTTCCGTTAAAGAGTGCATCGAAAGTGCGTCGAATGATATTGCGCATGAGACGTGGAAACGATCGTGAATAACGTTGCTGTCGCGAACTGTGATCGCAGCGCGCGACGTTTTCCCGAAAA